TAAGGTGCCACAAGTACTCCTTTTCTTTTTATCTTATTTCATTTATTTTATATAGCTTTTGCTGCTATATAATCCATCCTTCATTATTTCGGTGCTTTGTGTTTCTTATCTTGGGGGGGGGGGGAAATCAATTACGTCAGTTTTATTTTTGTTTATAGGCATATTCACTTGTAGGTTTACGTGGGAAATATACTGATTTAAAATCAGCTGGCTTCATTTGGATTTTTTTTAAACAATTAAAGTAGTCCTAGGTTTTTACATAAAGTAGGTTTTTACAAAATTTAATTTTCAAGCCCAGTTAATGTAGTTTTAAATAAAAATGCTTTTAAAGACCTTCAGACTGAGTGATAATAAAGGTTTTGTAAAGGACAGAATTAAAGGGTCTGATCCTGCAATGAATGGCAGATCTCCACACTCCATCAGAGTCCCATGAACCCTACATGGGTCTTCCTGACTGCACCTCATTGCAGAATCAGGGTCTTAGTGTTGTTATTTTTGCAACGAAGCAGAGAGTAGAGTAAAATGGGGAAATCCTTTTTGCCAACTAGCCAAGCCACATAAGAGCAAACACCATTGATTTAACATGTTAATAAAGACATAGGCTAGGAAACTTCACCCACACTCAGCAAGGAAACCCTCAATTACTGTCTTTACTGTAAGAGGGAAAGTTTGTTATTCTGTCCTTCTTTCCTGACTTGTGAGGGAGGAGAGAGAGTCAAAAGTGTACACACCATAATACAACATTTCATAGCTCACATCACAAAATTGTCCCAGCTGAGAACTATTATAAACAGCTCAAGAGAAGCATTCAAACAGCATCATTTGCAAACTAAGCACTATAGAGGACACTCCCCATCTCTTGATCCAGCCCAGTAGGGAGCTGGAAGATAGAGACAAACTGGTGTATTAGTTTTCACTTGTTTTACAATAGCACCTAGAGGCACTAGCTGACATCAGGGCTCCTTTGTGATAGGCCCTATACAAACACAGAACAAGAGACAGTACCTCCATCAAAGAGTTTACAGTCTATCTAAATAGATGACAAACACCGCCACCACGCTCTTACATAGCGCCTTTCATCAGACCTCAAAGCGCTTTACGAAGGAGGGTGAGATAATATCTTTAACTGGACCAATTTCTGCTGGTGGAAGAGACAAGCTTTCAAGCGGGAATGGAGATCAGTATTATTATCTCCATTTTACACATGGGAAAAACTACCCACAAGGAAGACAAGTAACTTGCCCAAGGTCAGTGGCAGAGCTAGGAACTGAAACCAGATCTCCTATTCATATTAAGAATTGATTTGTAGGAAAGAATACTTATTGGCAGACAGCGTGGCCTAGCCAATAGAGCACTGGACTGGAACTCAGGAGACTGGCCTTTAATTCCTGGCTCTACCATGGACCTACTGGCTGACCTTATGCAAGTCATTTTCTCCTCTGTGCCTCAGTTTCCCCATCTGTAAAGTGTGGGTAATGCTACTGACCTCCTTTGTAAAGCACGTCGAGATCTCTGGATGAAACGCACTGTATAAGCGCTAGGTAGCACTACTAGTAGTAGTTTGATCAGACAATGAAATCAGTCCATCATGGGAGGGAGTTCTACTGGGTACCGTGGACAATATTTAAGGGTATGTTTCAGCAGCTTCTTTATTGCATATTTGTAGGGTGGCAAAAGAGAGACCTTTCCCCAGGTTCGACTACAGATTGCAGAGAAAATCACGACTGAACAATCAGGAATTTATTTGCAAGGTAAGAGGCATGGGGGGAGAGTGAAAAGGGAATCTAAGAATTCCCTGCTCTAAATAAAAAGAGAGCACTTTCCATCTTCAGGCTATCCTCAGAACCCCCATGAGAAGGACCCGCCACAGAGGGCCTGCTTTACAGAGGAATAAAATATTTCTGGTTATGGGTGCCTCTGTGCTTTTACATTTACAAATACTAGGTCACCCTCACTATACCCCTTGGTGAACTCTAAGAATTCTTAGCCCCGCTTTACAGGTGGAGAGAAATATGGCCCCAGCCCCGATGAGCTAACTGTTGGGTAGGACGCATCACCTGAAAACACTGTAGAACTCTTTGGGGAAGGGACCCTCTTTTTTGTTCCAGGTGTTCACCGCTTAGCACCACAGGGCTCTGGTCCAGGAGTGGGACTCCTAGCCACTACTGCAATACAGCTAATGAATGACGACGACAAACAATGAGGGGAAGAGGGGAGAAGGGTTGCCAACTCTCATGAAGTTACCGTAAGTCTCACTATACTTAGCATGTCCCTTAACACATTTTGTGAAGCGCTCTGAGACCAAAAGTGCTATTGATGAAAAGTGCTGGATAAGAGACAGGTATTGTTATTATTAAAGCCCCAGCTCCGGGAACGAAACCAATCTCAGCCCATCCAACCCCCCCGTCCCTTTTTCCTTTCATTACAAGGAGAAGGCTGAAACTGGAAACCCAAAGGCTCCAAAACGGGAAAGCAAATAAAAATAACCCAACGCTTGCTATTAAGTCCCATTATTTTTTGGCCAGTCTCATGAATCCTTTTGGCCAGGCCAATGATATTGGCGTGTGCGTGGGTCTGGCAATATTGGATGGATGCTTCAGTTAGTTACATATACTCCTTGAGGGTACGTACCTAGGAGATGGGGTTGGCGCATGCTTCCTCACCTCCCCAGGTAGTTACCCGGCTCCTCGGCTCCCACCCCTCCCAGCCCCCTGCTAGTTACCCAGCCCCCGGCCCCCGACCCCCAGTAGTTACCCAGCTCCTCGGCTCCCGCCCCGCCCCCCCAGCCCCCTGGTAGTTATCCAGCTCCTTGCCCCCCTCATACCCCCTCGCCCCCCAGGTATTTACCCGTCTCCTTGGCTCCCCGTCCGGGTAGTTACCTGGCTCATCGGCTCCCCCCACCCCCCGGGGCTCCCCACCTGGGGATGCTTCCCCGGGTCCGCCCCCCCTCCCGGGGCTCCCCACCGGGGCCGCTTCCCCGGCTCCCCCCCCCACGGGGCCGCTTCCCCGGCTCCCCCCCCACCGGGCCCCCCCGGCCGCTTCCCCGGCTCCCCCCCCACCGGGGCTCCCCCCGTCCGCTTCCCGGCTCCCCCCCACCGGGCCGCTTCCCCGGCTCCCCCCCACGGGCTCTTCCCCGCTCCCCCCCACGGCCCCCCCGCTTCCCCGGCTCCCCCCACCGGGCTCCCCACCGGTCCCTTCCCCGGCTCCCCCCCACCGGGCTCCCCACCGGTCCGCTTCCCCGGCTCCCCCCCACCGGGGCCCCGGGTCCCCCCCGGCTCCCCCCCACCGGCTCCCCACCGGGTCCGCTTCCCCGGCTCCCCCCCACGGGGCTGCTTCCCCCGGCTCCCCCCCCCACGGGGCTCCCCACCGGTCCGCTTCCCCGGCTCCCCCCACCGGCTCCCCACCGGGGCCGCTTCCCCGGCTCCCCCCCCACCGGGCGCCGCTTCCCCGGCTCCCCCCCCCACCGGGGCCGCTTCCCCGGCTCCCCCCCCCCACCGGGTCCGCTTCCCCGGCTCCCCCCCCCACCGGGGCCGCTTCCCCCGGCTCCCCCCCCACCGGGTCCGCTTCCCCGGCTCCCCCCCCCCACCGGGTCCGCTTCCCCGGCTCCCCCCCCCACCGGGTCCGCTTCCCCGGCTCCCCCCCCCACCGGGTCCGCTTCCCCGGCTCCCCCCCACCGGGTCCCTCCCCCCCGGTCCCTTCCCCGCTCCCCCCCGGGTCCGCTTCCCCCCCCCCGCTTCCCCGGCTCCCCCCACCGGGTCCGCTTCCCCGGCTCCCCCCCCCCACCGGGTCCGCTTCCCCGGCTCCCCCCCCACCGGGTCCGCTTCCCCGGCTCCCCCCCCCACCGGGTCCGCTTCCCCCGGCTCCCCCCACCGGGTCCGCTTCCCCGGCTCCCCCCCCGGTCCCTCCCCCCACCGGTCCCTTCCCCCCACCGGGTCCCTTCCCCCCCGGTCCCTTCCCCCCCGGGTCCCTTCCCCGCTCCCCCCGGGTCCGCTTCCCCGGCCCCCCCACCGGGTCCGCTTCCCCGGCTCCCCCCCCACCGGGTCCGCTTCCCCGGCCCCCCCACCGGGTCCGCTTCCCCGGCTCCCCCCCCACCGGGTCCGCTTCCCCGGCTCCCCCCCCCACCGGGTCCGCTTCCCCGGCTCCCCCCCCACCGGGTCCGCTTCCCCGGCTCCCCCCCCCCACCGGGTCCGCTTCCCCCGGCTCCCCCCCACCGGGTCCGCTTCCCCGGCTCCCCCCCCCCACGGGGCTGCTTCCCCGGGTCCGCTTCCCCGGCTCTCCCCCCCCCGGGTCCGCTTCCCCGGCTCCCCCCCGGGTCCGCTTCCCCGGCTCCGCCCCCCCCGGGGCTGCTTACCCGGCCTTGGGGCCGTCGCGCTCCGCGGGCTGCCAGCGACGCTGCCTCACAGACCCCGCTCCAGGGGGTCCCGGGCCCGAATCTCAGCCCTGCTCAGGGCACAGCCTCCAACCGCAGCGCCCCCGGCCTGCACTGGGCCGAGCTCCTCCCGCCGCCACAGCCGGGACCCGCGGCCCGGGACCGCTCCCTGTGACTGGGACTACGGGCTCCAGCATGCCCCGGGGCCGCCCGCCCGGAAAGACGACAGCCCCCAGCATGCCCCGGGGCCGCCCGCCCGGAAAGACTACAACCCCCAGCATGCAACGGGGCCACGGTCCCCAGCATGCCCCAGGACCGCCCCCCCGTAAAGACTACAGCCCCCAGCATGCCCCGGGGCCGCCCCCCGTAAAGACTACAACCCCCAGCATGCAACGGGGCCACCGTCCCCACAGGACGACAGCCCCCAGCATGCAACACGGTCACCACCCTGGACGGGACCACTCTGTCTGAATGATTTACAGCCCCCAGCCGGCAACGCCCCCCCCGTGGCGCCGCCCCACCCGGGCACTGGCCGTTCCCAGCGGGCACCGCCCCCCAGGCGCGGCCAGCGCTGGCCACGCGGTTTGAAGAGCGACCGTGCCCGGGGTGAGGGGCTCAGGGGGCCGCCGCCGCCCCCCCGGACTGGCCACGCTTCCCAGCATGCCGTGGGGCGCCTCCCACGCGCCAGCGCTGCCTGGAGCCGCCCCTCGCGGGGGGCCGAAACCCGGCACCGAACAGCGCCCGCAAGGCGCGGGGCCCGCTCCGGAGCGCGGGGCCGGGTGGGGCAGGGGCGAGAGCCGGGCGCGGGAGGAGTCCCCGGGCTGGGCCCCGCGAACCCCGCGGCCGGAGCGCGCCCCGCCCCCGTGCCACGTGCTGTCCCCCTGTGGGGCCTACAGCTCCCAGGATGCACCGGGCCTCCCCCCCACCCGCCTGAATGGTACGTTCCAAGGGGGAAGCGGGGGGACACCCGGGCAGTCGCCGTGGCAGCCAGAGGCCGCAGTGGGGGGCGGGGGGAGCGCGGCGGGGGGGGCGCAGGAATCTGGCAGGTAAATACCAGCGGCCGGGGGGGGGGGAGGTGTTCCCGGACGCCTGGGTTCTAATTCCAACGGGTTAGGACGCTCCACAGCCTGGTCTGTGGCCTCCCCCAGCCCTGACCCAGCCAGCCTCAGAAGCAGCCCCGGGAGGTGGGGAAGCAGCTTCCTCCCCAGATACAGAGGGGAAACTGAGGCACGGCTCCAGGGACTTGGCAGCTGTCAGGCAGCAGGTCGTTGGCGGAGCTGGGGACAGAAGCCAGGAGTCCTGATGCCCCTGCGCTACCTACCTGCCCCCCCCCCGTCCCAACCTGTTCTGCCACAGCCCCCCTCCTTTCTGCTCCCTGAGGAGCTGGGGTTGGGGGGAGCAGGATGGGAGGCGGCCCGCCAAGGCTGCATCTACCCCAAGAGCTTTCTGCAGTTCTCCCACTGCTGCTCTTCAGCGTGGTCTGGGACAGTCAGCCCCCAACCAGCCATCTCAGCCCTAGGCACAGCAGACCACAGGGTTGACAGGAGCTTGATCATCATTGCTGTGGGGCGGGAGCTGCACCTGGGTTAGACCAAGGGTGGGAGAATTGCAGAAAATCATTGGTGGAGACCGGCGGGGGGGGGGGAGCACTGCCTCTGATGTTTTCTTCAAGATTCCCAACCCTCCCTGGAAAGTCTAATGTTGGGGCAGGAGGTCTGCCCCCTGAGGAGGAAGGCTGGAGGTGAGCTGGCATGTGTAGGTAGTTAGAAAGTGAAGTTCTGCCTTGGGGCGCATTCCCCTGGCAGGCTCTCAGTTACTGCATTGCACTCAGGAACATTTCTTGGCCTTGCTCTGTCAACTTGTGATGGCTCCTCTACTCCTAAAGGCACCAGGTTCTGCTCAGAGTCTCAACCTCTGCCATGCAGGGATCAATTCATCACACACGTATCCTAGAGACTTCCAGCCCTTGAGACATCAGCTTCTTGTCATAAGGTGGCACAAGGATGGATTAAGTGCTGATTGTTGGCCTGGCTCAAACTCCCACTCCAGGGAGAGAAGCAGCTTTGGGAGAGCCAGGGCCCAGCTGCTGTTTCTCATTGCATCATGGTCCAGTTTCCCCCATGTCCCCTGTAATCAACCAGCTGCCGGGGCTCAAGTGAAGAGTATCTTACTGTAATTCTTCCTGGGCATTGGGATGGACCTATACAACTTTGTGTTTTTAAGGTTCTGTCTGGCTCTGGAGTCCCTGAGCATGAGTTGAAAGTGGCTGAGAAATTTACAACTGAAAGTAACTTTTTTTTTTTTTTTTAAAAAAAACAGACCCTTGTTTACTTGTTACAAATAATAAGTTGTGGTTCAGCCAGTCCCGGGGCCGTGCGGGGACGGGACTAGTAATTGCTGCACCTTTGTGTGGGTCGTTTTAAGGGACATCTTGAATCATATAATAATGTTTTTCCTCCCTTACCTCTCTGGCCACAATCCCATGAATCGTTTCCATGGGTAGCTGCTGTGAATTTAATGCTCTTATTTGCATGCTGTTCACTTCTTTCTCCCTTTATATGCAAGCAGCTTATTCTGCGTTGTATCCTGAAGCGAGACAGAGATGGCCAAAGGCATTCTAGGAGATGCAAGTCTTCACTTTGATGAGCTGAATAAACTACGAATTTTGGACCCTGAGGTTGCACAACAAACAATTGAACTCAAAGAGGAATGCAAAGCTTTTGTGGACAGTAAGTTCTTTCCCTTTTATTGGCTCTGCCCAGGTCAAGCTCTCAGCAATACTAAATATCAGGTCTAAGTACTGCTTTTGCTGCTGGGTGGCCTTTTACTACCTTTAAAAGAGTCAATCTAATGACAAACCTGGAAATAGTTACCATTCACAGATGGAATTTTGATACAATACCATACCTCCATCCCTAGCTCAGCTCAGTTAGTTTTTTCATCAGATTGTTTGTTTGAAAACGGGCACCCAGTAAAAAGTAAGAGCAGTGGAAGAAGAAAGGATGCATTCACGGAGTCTAAGCCAAGGGTCTGCTTTTGTTTTTAGAAGTGTTTTTGTTAATTGATAAGCAGATAGCTTGTTACTTCTGGCTTTTCACATCAGTTACACACACAGCATCAGGGGACTGGACTAGAGGACCCCTCGAGGTCCCTTCCAAACCTGTGATTCTATCCAGGCTCTTCAGCGGTAGTTCCCTGTAAAGGAAACCGGCCCTGGAGCTCAGTTTCTGCCTGCCAAGCTGCTTCCCACAATAAACCCTATGTATGAAACACCTGATAATATTGATATTTTCCCCCATACGCAACCTTTGACAATTTCCAAACGTTTTCTGAAGCTGACAAGTCAGTACGGGCAGTGAGTCGAGTGTGCAGACACTATTGCATTGTCTTCTCTCAGCCAACACAGTCTTTTTAACCGGGTGGAAAAAAGCTATTACAGTGTTAGATTAACTTCTTTCTTGTGGATTTTAGTGTCTGACCTGTGCTCATTGGTTATAAGCTAATGAAGGCAGAGACTTTGATAATTAAATGTGCTGTTATTGTAAAATTCCTGTCTCCATCACATGTAATAAATACTTTTTCCGATATAGGAAAGGAGGGTTTTTTGGTAGGTGGCTGGCTGAGTTTCTATTTGCAATGATTATTTTTGCTGCTGGGATTTTCTGGTATGTTAGGGCACCTATCCTTGTATAGGCATCTCTTTTTAAATTTAGATCTGAATCAATAAGAATATAGGCAAGTCAGGCTAAGATTAGATGTCCTAGTAGGAGACAAGAACTCCGAACCTCATCAATGCTTAATGGCCTTTCATTATATTTTCCTCTTCATCTTTAGTTTAAGATCTTCATTGCTACTAAACTTAACATATGCCGAATACAATTGATTTTAAAAAGGGTTAAGACTATGAAACATTAAGAAATCCAGGCTAAAAAGCACGCAAATGCGATAGAAAAAGAATGTTTGTGTCCTTTCGGTGAATACTTTTAGCTTAAATAGCACCACTTTTCCCTTTGCAGAAATTGCAGAGTTTCAGAAAATAGTGGGTAGCTTAATAGAACTTGTTGATCAACTAGCAAAAGCAGCTGAAAATGAGAAGATGAAGGTACTGTACATTTAATTATTGGCCCATGAAATGCTCTGTCCTTTACGATACACAGACAGCCCCTGCCCTACCTACCGTACGATCTAAGCAATCTAGCTATTTATTCAATCGGTATGATCCAGATTGTTTTAGCAAAAAGAAAAGGAGGACTTGTGGCACCTTAAAGAGACTAACCAATTTATTTGAGCATAAGCTTTCATGAGCTACAGCTCACTTCATCGGATGCATACTGTGGAAAGTGTAGAAGATCTTTTATACACACAAAGCATGAAAAAATGGGTGTTTACCACTACAAAAGGTTTTCTCTCCCCCCACCCCACTCTCCTGCTGGTAATAGCTTATCTGAAGTGATCACTCTCCTTAATGTGTATGATAATCAAGTATAATGGCCCAACTTGATTATCATAGGTTTCAGAGTAACAGCCGTGTTAGTCTGTATTCGCAAAAAGAAAAGGAGTACTTGTGGAATCTTAGAGACTAACCAATTTATTTGATCTTCTATACTTTCCACGGTATGCATCCGATGAAGTGAGCTGTAGCTCACGAAAGCTTATGCTCAAATAAATTGGTTAGTCTCTAAGGTGCCACAAGTACTCCCTTTCTTTTTGCGAATACAGACTAACACGGCTGTTACTCTGAAACCTGAGATTGTTTTAAGGATCTTTTCGGTGGTAGAGCAGTTAACACCTGTCTTTGGATTATCATAGTTGTCTGTTACCAAGGGTTTAAAGGACTAGTACTAGCCAGTGGCACACAAACAAGCAAGCTCATTAAAGTGTCATATCATCCAGGTGTTTGTTTTTTCCCAGCCCTGCAGCTTATTATATTTGCATGTAAACAGCAGATTCTGTCTTTCTAATCAGTATTTTCCTTCCACCAGTTCATTCAGTGGGGCCAAAATTGAGTGCGTGGGCCATTAAGCGTCGGCTTTTGATGTGTTGCCATGGGCAGTGCCATCACTGAATACACCTGGCCGAAGGAAGCGGCTGATTAGAAAACAAAGAGCTTTTACTTATACACCTTTGCTAGCTACTTTTGTGAATGTTCTTGTTGATGCACATGTAGAAATACGTGCCACTAAGATCTTTTTTATAGGTCAGTCTAGAAACAAGCTTGGACATTTGGTGTGTTTTTTTTAGAAAAAAAAGTCCCACAAACTTACTTATATTGGAAAAAGTTCAGAACTAATGGTTAATTCTGAGCTTACCTGTCCCTCCCTTGCCCCAATCAATCCAGTGGTCAAGTAATATTTCTAGACCTGGCTTTGCCTTTGGCACTCCTGTGACCTTGTGCAGGTTACTAACCTGGGTCAGTCAAAGTAGTGAATATTTGAAGGGAAACTCTACAAAGATACGTTATTCCTGAAGTCTAATTATTAAAACCACTTGGAAAGTTCCCTTGTTAGAAATGATACAAAATTTGTTAGAAATGACAGTGGTAAACAGTGATACAGCTCTGTTACTGAAAGCCAGTCTTGTTTCCATAGGCAATTGGTGCCCGAAACTTGCTAAAGTCTATAGCGAAGCAAAGAGAGGCTCAGCAGCAGCAGCTTCAGGCTTTAATAACCGAGAAGAAAATGCAGTTGGAAAGGTAAGCTAAGATGTTACATGAAGCCACAACCAGCAGTTTGGTTTAATATTTTAAAAGGACAGAGTCACATTCGTTATGTTACTAACTTTATTAATATCACTAGTTTTGTGGACTAGAAATTCAGCCCCAATATTTAAACTCTAAGTACAGGTTGTAACCATTGTCTCGCTCTATCTCTTTCAGATACCGAGTAGAGTATGAGACCCTGTGTAAAATAGAAGCTGACCAGAGTGAATTCATTGACCAATTCATTTTTCAGAAATAAAGGATTTAAGACCAACATCAGCAGACTTGGCAAACTTGTACCTTTCCAGTATCCTGATGGTTCTCAAATGTGCAGTTTTGTATTGTGTACCAGTGAGCAAAGCAGCGTGGGTAAGGGCAAAACAAAAAATGAGTTTAACGTCACTCTGTGAACTTACATGAAAATGGCAGAAAGGAGGGGTTTTCCGCAGATGTGTAAATAAGAAGAGTTCTAACCTGTCTCTTGTTTTTAAAAAATTTGTACGGTCCCCGTAGTTTGAATTCATTTAATCTTCGAATGGACACTACTGTTGCTATATTACATGGCTCCTTTGTTCGTTTGTTTTTGTTTGTTTACAATACTTTCTGAGATCAGGAAATAAATTATTGTTTTTAGAAGTTGCTTTATTTTCAGATTTGTTTTGGACCTGCCAAGAAGCAGCTGCTCGTGTTATTTGTATAATTAAGAGACTATTTTCCTTAGATTTAACTAGTTCACTGGAGTGTCACATGAATAGTTTACCGAATACAGCTTTTCATGTCTACAGTCACAAAATACAACATTATTAAGAAGGACCAATAGCTTGTTTTTATTTGGACTGACAGAAGAGAATTGCTGTCCAGTAAAAAAAAAAAAAAAATACACACAAAGGCAAGTTTGTGACTAACCGAACCCACCCACGACAATCCCAAACTGGAAAACATACAGCAGAATTCAAGACAGATTATGCCTGAGGCTCACAGACTCACATTCAGAACAGCAGGTTCCTGGGAATTTAACAGTGCTCTAAGCTGCCAGCCTGAAGTCTTTGCGGCATGAGCAGATGTTAACGGTAAACAGATTTAGACAATGGATGCCTAAAGCTAGGTTCCAAAAGCAACATTTAGATACGAGTACGAATGGCCTGATTTCCAGAAGAGCTGAGCACCCACAAATCCTGTTAAGACAGGGATGGGCGAACTTTTTGGCCCAATGGCCACATCCGAGTTGTGAAACTTTATGGAGGACGGGGTAGGGAAAACTGTGCTTCCCCAAACAGCCTGGCCCAACCTACTTCCCACCCCATGACTGCACCCCTCAGAACTCCTGACCCATCCAACCCCCCTGTCTCCTGACCACCCTGCCCCTGAACCTCTGCTCCATTCAACCACCCTCTGCCCCTTATCCGACTCTCCGCCTCCTTACCACGCCCCTCAGAGTGGCAGAAGCTTGCAGCCACACCATGGCCCTGCCCTGCCCGGCAGGAGCAGTGGGCCAGAGCATTGGCATCACATCACGCTGAGGCTGCAGGGGAGGGGATGGGCCAGGGGCTAGCCTCTCTGGCCGGGAACTCAGGGGACGGGCCAGGGGCTAGCCTCTCTGGCCGGGAACTCAGGGGACAGGCAGGATGGTCCCACGGGCCGTAGCTTGCCCACCTCTGTGTTAGGGTCAACAGAAGTTGCAGGTGCTCAGCACCTGATACAGAAGTCAGGCTGCTTATTAAGTGCTTAGATGTGGAGTTGTACACCTACCTTTAGGCAACCAGGCATGAAACTGTCGGCCTTTGTAATTTAGACCCTGGCACGCGGCTGACAGAATAGTCCTTGACGTCATGAACAACTGATGTTACCACCATTTCAAGGCTAATGCTCAACCTTTTGGAAGAGATTTGGAACAGAAGACCAGCCCGCTTGTCAGTCTGTGTCAAACTGGGCTGCATTTGTGCATTTCATCCCAGGTGCGGCTGCAGCTTACCTCAGCATTTCAAGTGGCGAAAAGGAGGACGCAGTGCCACTCAGGTTTGGCCCATCTGCCCCTCCGTAGATGGAAATGAAAGGTGGGGGACAGGCCAAACCTAAGTCACGCTGCAATGCCCTGCACCAGGTCACAGCACCACTAGGTTTGGGGGCCCTCTCAAACGGGGGGCCCTCTCAAACGGGGGCCCCAGGGCAAACTGATGAAGTGAGCTGTAGCTCACGAAAGCTCATGCTCAAATAAATTGGTTAGTCTCTAAGGTGCCACAAGTCCTCCTTTTCTTTTTGCAAATACAGACTAACACGGCTGTTACTCTGAAACCTGCCCCTCCCCAGGCAGTCCTGAATGGGGGAAATGTTCACTTCAACTGAGATGGGCTTGGGGTCAAAGCAGGCTAGCCCCACAAAACCCAGGACTGCTGGGAGGGATGCTGCAGGTCAGAAGCGGGTGAAATGATCCCTGCTCATACACAATTAGGAAAAGACTTTAGGGCCCTTTGGGAAGAAAGGTGCTGTACAAAAAAGCAGATGTATGTCAAAGTAGGTTACATTTTAGCATTCAGAAATCAGGCAGGTCTTGAAATCTACTCGAACTAGTGATTCGAGTCCATAATCAAAAATGGAGCTGGCACATGCAGACTCTTTAAAAAAGGATCATAGTGTCATTCCAGATGGTAGGCAATGGTATCTAAGGGGGTGCTTGAGGGCTTGGATCCAACGTGGCCAGGCACAAAATCAAACATACATAACAAAGTGGCAAGAGTTTTGGCTCACAAGTTCAAAGTTATGAAATCTTAAGACTTACACAACTAGGTGACGTGGTTGCATTAACATATATTCCATCAGACTCTTAACTTTCATGGGCCAGTTTCTGCCCCCGGCCATACCTAAGCCAATGGGAGCGTGCATATGTATCTGAGGGCAGAACCAGACCCTGTTTTTATGTCTAATAAAAATAATACAGAATAACACCCTCCTCCCTCACAAACTCTCTCTGCTCTCCAGCTGCCTGTAGTTAATTAAGTCATAACACTGCACAATTATGCAGCCTCTGGTGTGTCTTATTTTTAAACAGACGGGGGATCCGTGGTTTCTCACACAGGTATATTTACCATGAGAGGAGAGCAGCTGAAAGGGAGGCAGAACGCAAGCGCAATGCTCTCGTTTCAGTATTGTACGTCAAAGGCTTTACTTCTTTGTTTTGTTCGCACTGATGAAAAACACCCGTTTGCCAGCCCCAGAGAAGTTAGGTCCCTCTAGCCACAGCAGCAGGGGGAATGGCTACTTGTTTTGGGAAGAGCAGGGACTTCCAGCCAATTCAAGCCTTCTATTTGGGACTCATACCGGTGTGAATTGGGGCAGCAGACTGCACTAGATGGGCACTTATCCCACAGGACCTGGACGGACTAGATTCAGAGAACAGATGGGGCTAGATGTTTAGGCTGTTTCGATTCCCCACTAGTTCTTTTTCCTTTTCTCCACCTGGTTGTATTGGGGGCTGTACAACATGGTAAATAGGATCAGAACTGGAATCAGCAAATACGGCACATAGATGGCTAAGAGAGCAAGGCGTTCCTGCTGTGTCTCTGGACCCTGATGCTTGGACGCGGAGAAATCGTGAAACAGGATGTGTGCAAGGATAGGAAATACAGTTGTAGCGACATGACTGGAGTAGATAATTGCTGGAGTCCGTATCCATTTGCAGCCACCTGTATTCGAGGCAGAAAAGTATAATATTTGTTTGAAATAAGAGGGCAGCATTCAACAGCCTTAGGATAAATACACTAAAGAGGGTGAAAGCATGTTGAGATCTACTCATGAAAACTGCTATAAGAGAGTTAGGTATCAACAGAAAATTAACCCAGACTGTACGAGCCTCAATTGCAAAGAGTATATAGTAGCAGGAAAACTAATCTGTTTTTATTAGGTGGAAGAGTGGCAATGCAAGGCATGCCAACTGGAAGCTTAGAAAGACAGGATGCAGATAGGAGTCCTGGGACATCTCTTCAAAGCAAGCTGATAAAATATTTTCATCATCAAAAAAAGACCAACATGCAGACTTGATTCAAGAATTATATTCTTAGGTCGGCCACCAGGTATCACGTAGATGCAGAGTATCCTTATACCCATTTTACAGGGGTTAAGCGACTCGTCCAAGGTCATACAAGAAGCACGTGGCAGAGCCTGGAATAAAAGCCCCATGTCCTAACAGGGCTGTTTTCTCCGCACTGGGCCCCATTACCTAGAAACCTAGGATTTCTGGTTTAAGATAAAGTTGTGGGAATGAAGTGTATTGTGCCAGGCTTGACAAGCATCAGCAAAAGAATAATTTTTCCTGTTTTTATTTTAATTATTTTCCTACAGGCTCTATCCCGCACTCCTTACTGAATCAAAACTCCTAGTGAAAAAACAGGACCCCCCCCCCACTTGATGCATTTGTAATGGCTTAAATGTACAGAACAAGCTTTCTCTACCCCTTAAAATTAATATCTGCAACAAGACTGCATGCACAATATTGTTCTTTCATTCTTTCTGTACCAACCTTTTAAGAATGCATAAGCTGCAATGGGAAAGAAAGGCATTTGTAAGAAGGCTTCACAATATACAAACGACTTAAACCATGCAGGGGGCTCCAGCATCATGGGATCTTTAAAGGTAACTGCGTACCATTTTAACAACTCCGTCAGCTTAAGAAAAAAAAAACACACAACAGTTTAACACGCTTAGCGTTAGCTGCAATGAGAAACAACAAGGCATTTTACGTGACCCATTAAATGGAGCCATCATTACAGCGCGCGAAACCTTTTTAAAGATATAGTCTCATCTTGACACACAAGGCTTCCGCTGTGCAGCTATTAGTCTTAATGGGAATTACGCTGCAAAAGCCTCTCGAAGTGGCGAAAACGCTCCGTACGCAGACATTCGACTCTGCAGCATTTTGTTCCACATGTTCTCGGGGTTATTACAACCTTACACAGAGCCTGCTGCTTCAGACGTGAGCAGCCACAGACCACTCCGGATCCCTTTTTACACGTAGGGAGCAAGCCAGGTTTCGTGGAGAGAGGAAAGATCCTTGAATTCCACTCTTCTTGGCCCTGCCACTGTGAGGACACGTGGGGCCAGATTTACAATGGTATTTAGGCCCTCCAAGAGGCAGACAGGTGCCTAGTGGAATTTACAAAAGTGACTATGTTTGTACAGCACCCCTAGTCGACCACTGGGTTCCTAGGCACTATAAACAAGAGGAGTTCAATGCCTAATTCACTTAGGTGCTTTTGTAATTCCCACTAGGCCCCTATCTGCATCTTTAGGCATCTAAATACCTTTATACAGCTGGCCCATGGTATTTAAACAGTCCTCTAAAAAGGTTTTTGTCCAAGCTGACAGTGCAATGAGCTAAAAGTCAAATTAGTCTGAATGACAGACAAATAAATGTAAAATGTGGTTTCGTTAGGTGGTCTTTGGTTGAAAGTCTATTGAGATTTGCTAGTTAATTTTTAATTTAAATATGGCTTCTAAAATAGAAGAAGCCTCCTGATTCATTCAAGTAATAATCAACAGTTAAACTGCCTGAGCTAATGACCTCAAGTCCCCGTCTAATATTGCTGGATACAGATTATATTTACAGTTTTCTATCATACAGATCAAACCCTGGTGACAAAAAATGAAGATCTATAAATAACTCGCATTGTACCTCGATTGGTCATATTTTGGGAACCAGTTATCTCTGCCTCTCTCACATTTATGGTGGCGTTTTGCACAGAAAACAAAATCATGAGGTCAGTGTTGCATAAGTCACTCAATGAACTACTGTACTCTGCCCTGAACTCTTCCAGTCTCTCTTTCAGACTGTATTCGGCTTTTAAAAAGACAAGACAAACACGTAGTGCTTTCCATATGCAAAAGAAATCTACTGTCAAGCAGATATTCAGGTATTTCTAGGCTGGTTAGGTTAGACTTCTGCAATAGCTTAGCATGCTGGGAAGATAAAAGTAGGAGAGATTTTAGCAAGGAGGTTTTTTGCTTTTGTCTGACTTACTGTGTAGATCTAATTGGCAGAGGAAGCTTGCACAGATTTCATTTGATCCTTTGAACAATTTTGGAAGCCAGTTGATTTGTGCCCTGGTGAACTAATCAAAGTGAAATTTATCCTAGTGACCCCAGACTAATGAGCTTGGCACAAGACATACTATCCATATTCATACTTAATACTATGTAAAAGCTAAGTGCTATTGCAAAAAACTGACTCATCGTAGGGCTGTAAAATTAGCTGTAGCTCACGAAAGCTTATGCTCAAATAAATTGGTGAGTCTCTAAGGTGCCACTAGTCCTTCTTTTCTTCTAGTGAATTTGACTCATTAACACTGCAGAAGGAGAGCTGAGCCTTTTCTCAAAGATCAGGGTTTTCAAGCCAACCGCTAGGCACAAAGTCATTGCTATTCAAACCCTTTGCACAGAATCAATTCTCCCCCAAACCCTTGTCTCAGACAGTCCCGACTGATTTTGCACTGAGCTGCGAACACACACAAATCACCATGTCGTTGAGAGAGTCCTGGCAGCTACTTACACTCTGCGGGTGGATGCCAGCCCCAGGTACAAGCGCTTGCAGGTCTATCAGTAAAGTGATGGGAATGTGAGTGAGGAAGTACAGGGCAAAAACCCACTCCAGCAAGCCAGTAACAGCAGCCATCCCTTCCCTGGGGCAGTGCAGCAGCAGGAAGTCAGCTGGTAAGCAACAGACACAACAGGCCACAGTTTTCTCTTGCTCCCATTGGCTGCACTCTCAGGAGGCTTGGTTTCCTGCTGGGACAACTCACAATTTAAAGGGCTACCCATCTGGCTGAAGGCAAAACACCTCTGCGGTTGGTGCCTTCCCTGAAGGAAGATTCCATTCGACGCAACAGGAGGCGGCCTTACTAGATTTGCGTTACAACCGATTTTAAAGGCTTAAACCCGTTTTCATAGCTTGGTGAGGAAAAAAAGAAAGCATGGGTTCGCTCTTTAGAGCTCGGCTCAACAAATTAGATTGTATTCAAGGCCTCGTCCCGCCACCCAGCACAGGATTTAGCAGGTTGCCTTCGAAGCAGGGGGTCAGAAGTCCTCTGTGTGCACATTTACACTATTATGGATTCCCAAAAGGGACTCAGGAGAATAAGTACCACTGACTTTCAATGGGACCTGTGCAGTGAAGTAGCTTAGGGGTGAGATTTTCAAAAGCACCCAGCAGAGAAGAATTTCTGGTCAGCAGAAGAATCACAAGTCGTTTTGAGAAGATGCTCGTATACTCTTGCTCATGTTCATTTCTTTACTTTTACCAGGCCCCCGGCCGAGTCCAATCACTAACAAAGCTAACGCTTTCTGGCTGTCCCATTAGTTAACTTCCTCCTGGATACAAATTTTCAGCAGGCTGACGGGCTTTGGCAAGATCCCAGGAGTAAGAGGGGAGAATGTGTCTAAATGTCCCAAGAGTACTCTGAAGATCTCAACCCTCACGCTAGATGAAGCAGGAGTTTCTGTGTTAGTACCGACGCACTTCCCAGTAGCAGGTTGTGTTCCTGTCTCAAACATAAGTGAGCTTTTTTAAACCTATTAATAGGTTTACTTCAAATCACTGAGCCAGGCTTATTCCCTTCCGGAACTGGAAACTGACTACTTAAAGATCCAGTTTATGTATCAGGTTATTATTGTGCAGTGGTTGTACACATCTTCCCTTAATACAGATAGGAAACAAAGCTTTCCAGAATAGAAATACTACCTGATCGACACCGGTGCCAGATACAGGCTTTTCACAAGGAAGTGACAGCTGACAGCAAAGAGTTATCATATAAACAGAGAATTGAAGAACAGGTGCGTTTCAAGGATCTTAAGATATTCTACTACTACAAGAAATATAAAGTGTAAGGGAGTAAGACTGGGAAAGTCTCTACAATGGATTGAACAACTGCTTTTAATATTTATTGAAAATTCAAATCCTGTTGGCAGTTCAAATGGGATACTAGATTTGGACACACTTGCTTTATGCTCTGGTGGTGTTGTCTACCTGAAGTTGTGCCAATATTTCTACTGGAAAGCCCTTAACTTTTAGGGGGTCTAAATTTTAAACATTTTCTCCCTGTTCAAATGCTACATTGGACCACGTCCTCTTTTGCTGGTATGTCTTCATGGAACTATACTGATTTACATCAACTAAGGATCAGGCTCATATAGGGTGAAATACTGGCTCCAGTGAGGTCAATAGGACCAAGATTTCATTCTAGTGCTGTCTGATTTATAATCAATACTAACCTAATTGTAACTTATGACCAAGTGTACTGTATAGTCTCCCACACACAACATTCGTTAATGCAAGGGACCGGGTCCTCCTGTGTGTGGAGAGAGAGGTTCATACCTGGTCAGGGGCACTGAAGACCAAGCAATAAGCATTATATGTCAATTTTAGTCTCTGCTTGTGTATTCAAGCTGCTGTCTCAGTTTGGGAAGATCCCAGCCCATCTCCACCTCAGAAGACTAAATTCTTTAATGGTGGTGGAGATTTAAATGCAGTTGAACTCAAACATTCAAATTAAGCCAAGTTGTTGATGCAAATAAAGAAAGTGCAGTCATTATATAAGAACGGCAAAACTGGGTCAGACTAATGGTCCATCTAGCCAAGTATCCTGTCTTCCGACTGGCCAATGCCAGGTGCTTTAGAGGGAATAAGCAGAACATGGCAATTATTGAGTTATCCACCCCCTGTCATCCACTCCCAGCTTCTGACAGTTAGAGGCTTAGGACACCCAGAGCATGGGGTTGCATCCATGACTATCTTGGCTAATAGCCATTGATAGACCTATTCTCCAAGAACTTACCCAATTCTTTTTTGAAACCAGTTGTAGTTTTGCTTTCATAACATCCCCTGGCAATGAGTTCCACAGGTTGACTGTGCATCGTGTGAAGAAATACTTCCTTTTGTTATTTTTAAACCTGTTGCCTATAAATTTCATTGGCTAACCGCTGGGTCTTGTGTTATGTGACTGGGTAATTCACTTTCTCCACATTTTCATGATTTTATAGACTTCTATCACATCACACCTTAGTCATCTCTTTTCCAGGCTATGAAAAGCAAGCTATGAAAAATATACACTTATGTGTAATTTGCAAATACATACCCAGAACCTACTAAACCTACTGGATTAGCCAATAAGCCAATATAATGCAACTAGTACATGTAGAAATAATGACTAAATCACAATGTAGTAAATTATACAAAATGGTTATGGGCCAGCCCCTAAAAAAACTCAGCAGTTAATTCAAAAAGCCAGTTCAGAAATGTAGTTTCTTTTTGAAAACTAGTTTTGTGGACGAGCTTATCACTGGCTGAAGAAGAGAATAGCTTTGTTCTCTAAGCCAATCAGTATGCAGCCAGCCAATGATATTTCATGATCCATTAGGCGGTGGATACTAGTAATCGACTCCTACACAGTTGATCTTGTCTCTTCAATACTGTTCTCTGCCATAGGCTTGCTTTCAACCAAAGTACCTGCTGGTTGTCTGTGTATTGTGAGCATAGTGCTTCCAATATTTATGTCCATTTTTGCATCTTTTCCTGCCCTTGTTTTCTCCCTTCTTGCCCTCAGGAAACCATCCTATGCAGTTTTCAGAGTAACAGCCGTGTTAGTCTGTATTTGCAAAAAGAAAAGGAGTACTTGTGGCACCTTAGAGACTAACCAATTTATTTGAGCATAAGCTTTCGTGAGCTAAAGCTTATGCTCGAATAAATTGGTTAGTCTCTAAGGTGCCACAAGTACTCCTTTTCTTTTTGCATCCTATGCAGTGTATTTGTCAAGTAGCATCTTTGTGGTAACTAAAAGACAGTTGTTTTAAAATTATTTTTCCCATTTGTTAATTCTGCACCCATTATCAGTGCAAATCTAATCAGCGCAAATTTAGCATGAGCTAAAGTCCAAAAGCTTATAGATCAGTAGTGACAACATTGTTTAATCCCTTGTACAACAGGAATTTAAACTGCTTAAAATGCAGCCCAGAAAATTCAAAATCAAGGTCAACGGGTAAGCTAAATTTTAGCCTTACTGGATGCAAAGAGGTTTTTCAATACAAATTCCCATTTTTAATTAGTAGTCAGAGTAAGATCTATGCAGAATGGCTAATTATATATTAAATGCTCCGCATTTTAGTCCTAGAATTACTATCTTTGTCCCACAGATACAGCACCTGATGCTGCTCTCATTTAATTGTAATTTATGTACAGAACCAAGAAACTGAGGCTACAGAAAATGTTAAAGTCATCACACATTTAAAAACTCTTGCCCTTGTGTGTGCATACTCATTCCTCAGGGTGCCTGTCCCACATTTGGGCCAGTGCAGATATAGATACATAGATGATATAGATCTCAACACGATTTTGTTCCTTGTGTGTTTATTGAGGAGACCCACACTGGAAGCTCTGGCAATTAGCTCCAACAGGCTTTGTACTGATGCACAGTGTGAACATTACGATTCATAACATTATGAAGTAAACCCTTTACAACACTACGTATTTAAGAAGAGAGCAGTTCTAGCAGCAATCCATTTCATATCTGCATTTAAAATAACCAGATTCAGGAAAAACAGAAGACCTACGCTGAAGCAGAATTGAGTGAGTAGTGCTGGCTAAACAAAAGACATACCAAATAAATTAACTGACACCAGTTTAGTGATATCCATACATGAAACAGAAATGTGACCACCACCACCAACTTGATGTTGAAATTTAGCTCATCATAATATGAAGAAATTGAGGCAGAGAGGTTACATGAATTGCCTGAAGTCACTGAGGAAGCCCATGTCAGAGCGGGGAACAGAACCCAAGATCTTCTGACTCCTAGTCTTACATTCAGGCCATGACACCATCCTTCCCCATCTATAAGACTATTCTATTTCTTATGGGTTCTAGCAGCCGTATCTATCTAAGTTACTTGCTTGATTCTTTGAAAGTTTCATAACCATGAAATGTGTGGACTGCTTTCCATTCTGGTTTGTTAATGCAGCACTGCTGAATACTGGGCTACGTACATTAGTTGTTTAGAAAATCCATTAAAGCTTTCACTTTGAAAGAATTACATGGATTCTGCAAACAAAGAAAAAAGAAAGTAGGACCAACCATCCTTGAGTGCATATCTTTAATCCCGCCCATCTAAGTGTAAACCAATTTCTTATTTATCTTCTGTTAACCTGTGGTTCTCAGCTTCATCCATGATCTAGCGTTGCAATAAGGTTCAGAAAATAATTAGAATAACTGGATGCTTCATAAAAAGTAAATCAACTAAACGACCCCCTCCAAATCAAGATGCTTTAAAGTCTTCTCACTTTAAACTATTTCAGACAGCATTAAATCAAGTTTAGAATAACTGAAAAGCTAGCCAACTTTTTTGGGGGAGGTGGAATGAGTCAGGAAATGAAAGGATAACACCACTTTTTCAAATGTCACATTTAATGTTTTCACCACTGTACTTCAAATCTACATTTTACAAAGTGACCAGCAAGTGTGCCACATTAACTGTCCAACCTCTGAGATTTTACCTTTCATACCAGTGTCTTCCTGGGCTCTTTTAATTAAACACGTTTCTCATTCAAGAGAATTGAAATGTTTCAGTTGGTTTTATTCTCAAGAGCCTCATAAAAAACAAAGATATTGCACCATCTTTGTTTAGTAATTCAATGTTTGTTTCTTTCACAGCAAATAATTACTTCATTGA